GCTGCGTGCAACCACGGCCGGTGGCGAGCTTAGCCTACAAAGAACCCCTAATTGTCCAGAAGGTTATCAGCTGGTCTTTCCAGTCAGCGGCGCAGCCGGCTCAGCCTACCTTGTTCTTTTCCAGTATACCTGTAACCCCAATATAACCCCTATATACCCCTAATATAACCTTATATATCTCTTTAAAGGGACCTAGGGTTTCCATTTTCTTTTCCATTATCCCTATATAATCCCAACATAACCCCAATATACCCCTACTCTGCGTTGTGATTGGAAGCGTGTTGACTTGTTGACGAGCTTGAACAACCAAGCAGCCAAATAGTTGTCCCATAAGTAAGGTTGCAGAGAACTCTTCAGCTGCCTTGAAGATTCCTTATCTACACATGAGTGGGCCTCTTTCACCTTTAAAGCAAGCAATATCCATTCATCTGGTTTAAGAAAACCACAAGCCTAGACCACATACACTTCCTGGACCCGTAAGAGCTCTACCGAACCAAGCAAATTGATTATCAATTGGGGACCCCAGTAATGGAGAATCAAATGGAAAAGCAAATGGAAAATGAATGGAAGCTAGGGATTATATAGGGGTTATATTGGGACAATGGAAATTGACTCCGACTTTCATTTAAACCCACATAACTGCCAGAGGGTCCTTATTCTGGCGCGTTTGTGACTACCAAAATATGCCGAATGTCTTTCACCCAAGAAAAAGCCCCGCACACTATATGTTGGGAGGGAATATTCCTGAACCTTTACCCTAAACCCTACGCGGGTCGGGAGCTACACTGGCCACATGCACGCGGACAGTCTTGCTGTCGCTTTGCATTGCCCCTTTCAAGCTGCCCCACTTGACGGTGCCCGGGACCCATGTACTCACACTTTTTAGGGTGTAGAGAGGCTCATGGGACATAGTAAATCTAGTAGAGATGGGGCTATAAAACAGACCAGCTCCAATTACGGTATGTCTGACACCATTTGTGCCCCCCGGCTCAAAAACCTGATTTCTGCGGCTGTCCATATCGGGGGGGGGGGATTATGAAAATCATGGGTACCTTGGAAATTAGATTGGGCATTGTACGAGGGACCGCCAGAAAGGATTACACCCTCGACCCCCCCAAACCCCAAGCCCTAATCCCTGTACATCCCTATGCAACTAACACTTTTTAAAAGGACCAATCTATCTCCCTCTGTATACGAAAAACTTTGACTCTCCATTCCTCAGATCGCAGCCTCAGCATTGTCGCTCGCAAGAATTCATGGGTTCCCCTGCGATCCCCCAATAGGGGCCATAGTCTAAAGTCCGAGTATCCCCCCTTAATAACCCCCATAGGAGTCCCCTGTAAATTCCCCTAGATTTACCCCCCTTTAAGGATCTCAAAGTATAGCTCATACTACACCTCTCCCATGTTCCCCATTGATTAGCCTTCGTTGGCCCAGCAGCCCTGATTACCGTCGAACAGGCTAGAACCTTGTTTCTCCCCCAGATTGGATACCGGATATGTGCACTTACGAATACTCCTCGGAACCCTACTACAAAAAATCTAAGCCCTAAACCCAGAGCGTGATAAGCCCCAAGATCCTTACGATGTCAAAAACCCCAAATTACCATGATAAGTCGTGAGGGCCTGAGGAAAATTTTCTTCAGGCTAATGATTGTGGGTTTGGGGACTATGATAAAGCGTGAGGGCCTGAGGATATTTTTGTTTTGGGTTAAAAGTTCAGGAGGAAGTGTTGAGGGTTTGGGTTTAGGATGAGAAAAACCACTGGCATGGTGGGGTCCCTAAACCCGAATCCCCAGACCCTAAACCCTTAACCCTGATCCCTAAACCCGACCGGAGATCAGACTGGTACAGCTGGCGGTTATTCAGTTTGGCTTGGGGTTTAGGCCTAGGGTCCAGCGGATTGTAGCATGCCAGCACCTGGAATTTAGGGCTTAGGTTAGCGTTTAGCGTTCACCTGCTCTTGGAACCCCCCCCCAGTCTGCAAAGGATTGCAACAATACCGCTTCAGGGTCGGGTATCCAAGCCGTAAGCCCTGGATGCCAAGCATAGAACCCTTTGCTCTGAGACTACAACGCCCAACCCCTGGGCCATCGGCTGTAGGGATCTCAGCGATTACGGCTTGCATTTTTTGAGGGATTGGGGATTGTTTTTGTTGCCCCTTTTCCTCCTGCATCCGGTGCCTCCGTTTGAATGCAAGAAGGATTACGGTTTGGGGCTTAAGGTTAGGGGGCTTAGATTTCCTTGAATAGAGGGGGTTCAATGTACACCCCTAAAAAGGACAATCCTCATGATGGGGATCCCATAGAGAGACCCCGTGGTTTAGGAACGTACCAAATAATGTCTGAAGGTTCTAACTGAAACATAAGCTTTTGTTACCAGCCAGAGCCATCAAAAAGCAACACTGGTGCCACCAGTATGCGAACCTCAAAATCACCGCGTTTGGGCTTACTGAGGTCGCTCAAAATATATTTGCCGAATCTGACGCAGCTTGTCAGGGCTCCGGTCAGACTGAAATGTAGCAGTTAGACAAAGCAAGAGAAGACACCCTCTTACACTCCTCGCGCTTCCCTGCGAGACCCTGCTTCAAAAAAATTGGAAGCAGATGCCCTTCAGCAAAATCAGCTGCCATCCAGCCCCTGGAATTTGTGATGTCCAGCGTAGCTCCCGCTGCGATCAACGCGGCAGCAGCTTCATACCTTGGTAGCCCAGCACCCATAATGCAACAAGGGTAAGCAGTACCCTTTTCCAAGTGATTTCATAAAGGAGCCCAGGAACCAAAAAGGATAAAAGGGTACCACTGCGCTTCCTAAATGCTGTGCTGACTGCACAGCTGCCATCAAAGGTGTGCGTCCTTGCCAGTGGTATGCCTGCACGGAGAGAGCACCACGTCGGCCCAACCTGTGCTGCAACGACGCAGCGTTTGCCACCAGACAGCCAACTTTCGTAAAGTCGCGATGATTATCCCACTGGAAGTCCACATCAGCTCTCATGCGCAGCAATCGCTCCACGATCTCTGCAGAGCCACCACGAAAGGATGAAGCCCCTATGAGAGCCCTTGAGAGTGCCAGCGGGTCATGCTGAGCTTGCTGGAGCAGCTCCTCCATGGCATAAACAGCACCGTAGGACGAAGCCATCTCTAAGGTTCCTAGAAAAGCCCAGTTGCTAGCAAGGGCATCACTGCCTGCTCGGCAAAGGAGGCGGATGCCTTCTGGGTTGTCAGCCATTGCTGCCTGGTGTAGGGCTGGGAAAAGCCCTCCTGCAAGTCTAGCCTTGGCAGCAATGAGAAGCTGTGCCACCTGGTTATGTTTGTAGAAGACTGCCAAGTCAAGGGCCGACACCCACCTTACTGCTGCTTCGCGGGGAGATGGTGAGTGAAGTTGGGCACTATAGTCGATGCGGGGATTATATGGGGACTATGATGGGGATCCACTCCGCCACTCTCCCTGAAGCACCAATCAAGCCACCTAGGGAAACCCAGCTTCGGTTCATCCTTGGCGGTGCGCCGATTGGGATCCGCACGTTGCAGTAGCAGTCCCTCGATCAGCTCCATTCTCCCGGATAGCGCTGCGTAATGTAGCGGCCACCAGCCTCCTTTGTCCCGGCAACTTACCCGAGTGAAGCCATTTTGGTGGAGAAATTGAGTCACTGCGTCAGCTCCAGGCGCACCTTCAGGCTGGCAGCCTGGAACTGGGTGAAGAATGGGCTCCACGTCCAGGTCTCGAAAGTGCACACTCTGTAGGTTCAGGTGCCGGCGGAAGCTTGGAAAGTCTCCAGCCTGGAGGGACAATCTCAACTTTCGGCTGAGGATCATCCTCATAACTGGAGCGAGCTTTGCTCGGTCACGGTTGACGGTGAACTCACCCTCACCAACGCAAGCACCCGGAAACGACAGATTCGTGTGCACCACCTGGAGAGAAGTCGAACTCTGTATGAGGATCCACGTGTCATGTTCGGACAGTTCGCGTGAGGCTCTCTCCACCCGACACCATCCACGCCTACTCCAGCTCATTGCGTTCAACACCCTACCTTGCAAAGGGCAGTCGATCACCGGACACAAAGCAAAGAAGTAGCGGGACTTGACAACATAGGCTGGGATGCTGTTGATTGCCCTCATCTGTAAGGCACTTCCTTCAGCGCTGACGGCTCTTGCTAAGTTGGGTCTGTCAGCATGGTGCTGTGGGACTGAAAAGTAGTCGTACCAAATAAACAAAGGGCAGGACTGAAACTCCTGGAAGGGGATGCCCTTGGCGGTGGGCAGGTGAATTTCTGTTGCATAGTCCACCGGGATGGACCCCTGGCTTGTCAGGAAACGCCTCAAGACATCCTGCAACACCTGGGGAGTTCTGAAACATTCGGGAATGTACGGGGCCCTTACAGGGATGGCGCGGGTCCGCTTCCAGGATTGGAGGATACTTTTGAAGCTCCCCACCTTCATCTGCCTCAAATCGGGATCCGGGTGGTCTGGTGCAACCCATTGGTGTGAAACGAAAGCCGCATTCCCCACGCTGTCGTCAAAGACCACGATGTTGCCCTGGGCCTCAGCGTCGCACCGCTACAGGTGAACTTCTGAGAAATCGGGTATCCTGATACGCAGAAGAGGGCCGAAGTTTATTAGCTATTATATAGGAGTGAGGCGCTACTTACAGAAACTCCTACGGGCGAGATTGTAATTCGTAAGGCTGGCCAGCCCACAGATGCAGAAGCCATTCAGGCCCCGTATATGACAACGAACTCTGTATGAACCGCAACGGGGTCTGAAGGGGTTCTCCTTCATAAGCCATTTCACGGAGTGGATCACTTTGGGGTCTGGTGTGAATGGGCTTGCGAGTTAGTAGGCTTCCACGCTTATCCGTAAAACACCTAGTCGCTGAGTTCCCTGGCCCCAAAAAGGTTAACCTTTGCATTATAATAATAATAGGACTATATATACCCCAAAAGGGTAAAGGTTACCTACCCAGCTACTAAGAACAGGTAGCAAGGTTTAGGTTCAAGCCTGCGGGTTTTGTGGTTTGTTTGTTTGAACTTATCTGCATCTTCCAAGATAAACTTGCAAAAGGGACACCTTTTTGTTTCGCCCACACCTCCCACGCGCTGCGCAAGTGGGGGATGTGGTCCTAAACCCCACCTTAGGTGCCGAACCTTGCAGGGGGGCCCTTTCAGGCCCTCCCATCCTTTGACAGCCCACTACCTCCCATAAATTCTAACAGGCTTACTGGTAGGTTAGTATTGGTAGGTAGTAGGGATTAAGAGCATCTAATCTGCGCTATCTCACCTATATATGACCCCTATATCCTCTGCACAATAATCCTTATATAGTCCCTATCTAATCCCTAGATAATGTCTATTACCTTACTCCCTACTAAGTCAGGGGCCTGAGGCAGGCTTGGGCCCGTTCTTTCCCACCATCCTCTGTGGGTTGATGGCTACTGGGCTTGTGGCCAAGATGGATCTAACTGAGTGTTTAGGGTGTAGGGGTTTAAGGTTTAGGGGTTTAGGGTTTAGGGTTTAGGGTAGATACAGCACCCGCAAAGAAACACCATGCCCTCGACGATGCCTTGTTGCTCGACAGCATCGCCGTAGCTATCACAGCCCTAAACTGGGTTGCTGCTAAAGAACTTAAACGAAATTGCCATAATGGTTTATATAGATAGAGTAATTAGTGTGGTTTCCGCAATATAGTAACTTATATTAAGTTCCTTAATAGCAACCCAGTAAAGTCCTAGAACCGGGCACCTTGGCATGAACTCAGGAGTGCCTCCAAGGTCTGCAAACATCTCCCCATTTTCGCTGCAAAGTATTCTGAGGAAATGCTTCGCGCCCCCCACCCCCCCTGTAATTTCAAGCGAATCCCAAAGTCCCAAAGTGTATCCCGAAGGCCGCTAAGATACCCCAATTCTCAGTTGGTTGGCCCCTAAGACCATTAGTATATAGGGTCCCCTATTAAAGCCATTGGGGAAAATATTAAATATCCCAGGAGCCTACCCCAGACCCTAAACCCCTACCCTACACCCTAAACCCTAAATAGTAGCTTCCATCTTTTTCCATTATCCCTATATAACCCTAATATTACCCCAATGGGTATCCCCCAGGTCGTTAAGATACTCCTATTCTCAGAAACCTACAAGCAGCTGCCTGCCTTCAGCTCCTCATGCGGCTCGATTCGTTGCATCTGCAGAACCCTGCTGGTAGGGACTATGGGACTATCGTCTAGACTCCTAGTATCCCCCTTAAGATCCCCTATAGTAGTCCCATATAGAATCCCCCATATAACTCCCCTTTAGGGAGTTTAGAGTATGGGACTATCGTCGTTTTGTATTTCCCTAGATATCTCTGTATAATTTCTTTCCTTATCTTTTTTGCAGCTGGGCTCGCACACAGCCAGAAATTGTTTCTTCCCTTATCCTAAACCCTAAACCCTAAACCCTTTTCCCTACTTACCTTGGATAAACTTCCCGAAGTATAGGGACTTATACGAGGTACTTAGGGAAATGCAGGATGTTTAGTACCTACCCTATAAACCCTTATATAGCCCGACTTTCATCTAATTTTCCATGTTCCTTTCCATTTGCTTCTCCATTCCATTGGGTTGTGACCCCTAAACCCTACACCCTGAGTCCTAAACCCTGACGCTAGAGCCATATCTGGGGGTTGCCCAGAATTAGGGGTACCTCACTGGGGTCCCTATAATAGGGACTATAGTATATTGGGGTGGGGGTCCCCTTGTTGAGGGAAAGTACCATATAACCCCGGTATGCCTAGGTCAAGTCTGGAAGTCACCTAGCACTTCCGGGGTTTCCGAGACTATCCCCTGCCCCGGTTAACAACAACTCCTCTTTCTCGAACATTAAACCCCTCACCCACCCGAATGTGAAAATTTCCCCATTGTGGTAGATTATACATATATTGGGAGTGTTTGATATTAGGGGGTGGGGGGCTTCAAAATTAAGGGGGGGAGATTACTGTATTACTGTGTGGTGAACCCCCCACCCAGTAACAGTGGCTATAAGGGATAATGGTGAATTTATTGGGGTCCTCTTATATTCCTATGATACGACTATTAAAGGGTGGGGGGTCCACCTGACTACTTTATGGGGAGAGAATACTATTATACTGTTTTGTGTGTTGACGGGTAGGGGTTTCTATAGGCATTACTGGCTTAAGACTTGGAAGACACCCCAACCACTCATCAACTTGCCTAGCGGCATCCAGCTCATAGCAGGAACACTTTCCCCCCGCTCTTTTTTTGCGCTAATCCTTTCCGGGGTGGACCCTTGGGGCCCTAAGCCCTAAAGCCGATGTGGTTTCAGGCTACCGTGCCGGGCGCATAGCCCTAGGCATCCTTGTGCTCGAAACCCTGAACCCTAAGACCCAAGCCCTAAAACCCTAGTACTTATTGTTAGGGTTCAGGGTTAGCCTAGTACTGTTACAATTACTGCCACTATTTTGCTAGAACTACACTACTATGACCTTCTTCCTGCTGCCATTTTGCTATACCTCAACCCTCACCCTCTCTCTCTCTCTCTCACTCTCTCTCTCTCTCTCTCTCTGGCGCTCAGAATCACATGGACAAGAAGAATGGAGGCTGGGTGTAAAAAGGGGGTTAGGAATGAATGTCGGGGCCTGACTAACTTGAACAGAGCTTTGAACGTTTTTTTGATACATGATACTACAGATTTCCAAGGGTTATGCCGGAAAACATTGAAAGAATATTCGGCCCCATCTCAGTTTCCAGTTTCTTTTCCACTCTCCAGTCCTGCTTATTAGACAAGCTTCAACAGTAAACCCTCAGCCCATCTCCGTCTGCCTCTCCGCAGCGACAACATACATGGGGAAGATCATTGGAGGTGCCTGAGGTGCAAGCTTCCAGAGGTTAGGGACTCTTAGGGCTTTGGAATTCTTGGGGATGCGCGGTGAAAGTCTTGGCCATAGGTGGGTTTAGGTAATATTGGGCTTCAGGCATTAGGGCATGTCGCGCTGGAGGGTTTAGGGCTTGAGGTTTAGCACTTGTCTTTAATGTCCAATAAGGGTGGGCCATACCCTACACCCTGCACCCAAATCCCAGGCGTGATGCAACCTTGATGTAAGAGTCTAGAGCGAGCACACTTCTTGGGACGCAAAGCCTTGAACCCAGGAGCCCTGGATGAGAGCTCGGGGTTTAGGGGGATAATAGGGTATATGTGGGGCTTATGTAGGGATGATGGATACAGAAAATGGGAACTACTACATAGTTGGTTATATAGCGTTTAGGGTGAAGGGTGTTTAGGGTCTAGGGCTTAAGGCGATTGGAGTCTCCCTAGTTCGTTCGGCCAATGACGAAGACCTAGAAGAGATCTTGAAGTGAAAAGCTTCTCTGAAATCTTTGTATCAGGGCCCCGGGGCCTGAACAAGGCGTTAAAAACCAACTTTGCCGTTTCATCTCGTCCAGTAAAGCACGAAGCACTTCTCCTGACATGTCCTAATACTGGGTTGGAAATAGGGGCCAAGGAATATATACCCTGTTATACAGTAGTAGTTTCCATTTTCTTTTTCATTCTCCTTATATAAAACCCCAATATACTCCCATATGGGGAAATAGGGGCCAGGGGTAAAGCCCAAAGCGTTAAGTCTGAGACCTTGATGATTGGCAGGGAGGTGCCGGGGGCGCGGGATTCGGTCTATGATGGGAAGGCGATTGTCCTGCTCCTTTCCTGCATTTGCTACATTCTGGATTCAGTTCTTTTGGGGGCTTGGGATGTGGGAGTTCAACCTCTACAGTCTAGGCTTATTCTTTTGCAGCTCTGGCCGTCATCCATGTGATTCCAGCAGCCACGCGGTTTTTGGGTTTAGGGTTGAGGTTGCTGAGGGCAAAATCATGAGACTCTACTTGCCTCAGAAGATCGTAAAAGACTTTGTCTTTTGGGATCCGTGTAGAAACCCCAGAAATCAGAAACCCCGAGACCGAAAGGCTAAGGTATCGCCAAGAAGCAGTAGGCTAGAATTAGAAGGGGGGAGCTTCCAAGGGCCTCAAGTTTAGGGGCTGAAGGTTCGTGATTTGCACTGGTGTCCCCCGTGCTAGCCCCTAAAGCCTAAGCCTGAACCCTATACCCCCTAAACCCTGCCTTGTTACATCTTAGCTTGAACCAAAACGTGGATTCCCTCTGTCTTTCCCCTAAACTGAAGGCGCTTTACATCTTGGCTCGGGCCTCAACCGGTTGGCTTCTTAAAGGCCTTACACACTTCTGCCAAGGTGTTGCAGACATGACATCAATAGGATTCGCGTATTAGAGTTCATGGTAAGGATACAGACACGAGATAATTATACAGGTAGTATCACGGAATTACTGGCAAAGAGGTCCCAGGGATTATGTAAGGCACTATTTACGGCCCCTAAACCCTAAACCCTACACCGCGAATTTAGGGTTTAGGGCTTGGGATGTCAAGACCCTGGCAAGGCTGAATGATTCCGCTTGTGGGGGAGTGTCTGGCACTATTGAAATATCTCCGAATATGCCTGAAGTATAGAGTAGACACCTCACAAACCAGAAGTATAGGTTACCCTTTGAAGTGATTTTACGGGTTCTATAGCGCTTGCACAAGGTAAGAGTTAATTAAGTTACCGCAATATGTGGAAAATACATATAAATACTAAGCAATAAGGTCTCCTTGCAATTGTAACTTCATCCAAATTCCTACCCCATGTGCACCCTAAGCCCTGGGTACTGCCTCCGCTCAGTAACAGTTGGATAGTTATTTATAATATAGTTACATATATATGTATCCCTTTCTTTGGCCCTAGCATAGACTATTACTAGGTGGGGGCAGTACCCAGCCTATGACGCAACTTTCCATCTTCCGTGTTCTTTCCATTTGGTTCTCGTTCTCCATTCCGGCAACCCTGAGCTCTACCTGAACAGCAACCCACAAACGTCCTACCATCCTGATGCAAAATCTGCATTTCATATCAGAAACTTTCACTCTGTATATATATATGTATGTATATATTCCGCCAAAAAATTATGGAACACATCTTCAAACCCTATTCTTGCCAAATCTGCCCATACGGTACCCCTTAAAACCGTGTAATCCTGCCAAGACGCATCATCGGTGACAGCTAAGGAGCTTGCATGTAGCTCCAAAGCTGTTGGCGTTTTCGCGGGCAGGCAAGGCGACATGACGAAAAATTGCTTGGACAAAGCGTGTGATTGTAAGATGTTGCTTTCCGTAAGCCAGGGGCGCCAACTGCAGACCCCCAAATGCAATTTCCATAAGCGAGGGAGCCCCAAAGACCCGCAAATGCTACAATCCTCATAATGGGGAGCAAGAGCCCTAATTGTTAGTAACCCCATATGTTAAATGGGAACCCCCACCAAACTCTACAAACCTACTTACAGCATGTTACATGCACAGAAAGTCAGAGGAACCTTGCATAAACTTGCGCATGTTTACCAAGTCTCCTGAGCCTTGGAATGGGCTAGAACCATCACATAACTCACAAAAACTGCCAGAAGGTCCTTGTTCTGGTGGCTTTGTGATTACCAAGTGGCGGCTAATCTCCTTCACCCAAGAAAACCCCCCGCACATTATGTGCTAGGGGGAATAACCCTCAACCCTAAGCGGGTCGGGAGCTGGAATAAAGGGTTCCTGGCACTGGCCACATGCATGCGGACTGTCTTGCTGTCGCTTTGCATTGCCCCTTTCAAGCTGCCCCACTTGACGGTGCCTGGGACCCATGTGAACTCACACTGCTTAGTGTTGAGGATTTAGGGATTTGGGATTTGGGGCTATGCGAGCTGTGAATTGTAATTGGAGCTATAACCAAACCACCTCCAATTGACTAGCACCGTTTGTACTCTACTTACGACGTCCCAAAACTCCTTTCTGCTACTGTCCATAGAGCTGGGGAAATGAACATCATGGATTGCATTGTCATTCCGTCTTGGGTTGCAGTTGTTCAACATGTAGTGGCCTCATATAATCATGCTGAGGAAAGGAACAGGACCCTCCGTGCCTCAGCAAGCATCTTGAATTCAAGTATCACCAGAAATGCTAAAAGGTCATCGTTTTTGCGATTATTCCAATGCCAGACGACCGAGAACCTTGAAACCCTAAACCCGACACGGGAAAATTGATCTTGACACTGGCCACATGCATGCGGACCGTTTTGCTGTTGCTTTGCATGTCCCCATCAAAGCTACCCCACCTGATGGTGCCTGGGACCCCGGTGAACTCACGATGTTTAAGGAGTAGGGTTTAGGGCTTAGGGTTGAGCATGTAGCGATTTAGGGCTTAGGCAAGAAAACCTCACTTCTGGCATTGCCCATCTCATGTGGGGGATTGTCAAAATCATGGCTTGCTGCTTGGGTACCCTGAGTATGCGGGAGCATATTGTGCGATGGACCCTAAAAAAGGATAACGCCCCCATATCACCCAAACCATAACCCACAAATCCCAAACCCCAAATTCCTCTATAATTATGAGCCATGGTCTACAGTTCTAGTATCCCCCTTTATAACCCCTATAATATTCCCCTACATAATACCCGAAAAATCCTTTAAGGAGTTCAGACTATAGCTCATATCCTGATATACCTTGGGGGTTAGTGAAGGGGTACAGGAGAACTCGAGTTCAACATAAGGTCCCAAGCAACGTCTGCCCTCTTCCCAGGCTTGGGCAATGTGATTATATAGGGGATTGTATAGGGTCCATTAAGGGGGAAACTATGACTTTAGACTATAAGTTATGTAGTTGTCCCTTTAAGGGGCTTGTTGGGTTATGCCGCGGTACAGAGGGACTAGGGTTTGGGGCTTATGGTTAGGGGTTTGGGGTTATGGCTTAGGGTGGTATGGGGAGATAATCCAGATCATCAGACTTTTAGTAAGTTTTGAACACATGGTTTACCCAATTCGACACTGAGTCTATACCCCTATCAATCAACCTTCCAACGCTAAACCCTAAACCTTACCTTCTTGCAGCAGGCAAACCTCAAACCCTGAAACCATGACTAAACTCTGCACAAAATCAGCACATCGACTGTACACATGCACGAAATAAGGGGCCTCAAAGAGCACCTTCATAACTTAGGAGAGGATCTCGGGTTTCCCAAACCCCAAACCCTGTAAGTTTTCACAAGCTAAGGTTTTGAAGCCTAAGCCCTAAAATCCTTATATAACCCTATGCTTTGCAGTGTCCATTTCATTTTCAATTTTATTTTCCATTTGATGCTCCATCATTATACAACCCCGCGTTAAGGAGCCCATAAAATCTCCGAAGCTTCGGGGACCTGCGCTCTACAGCTAAATCTGCTCAGCACATATGATGGAGCCATTCGGTCACCTTAGCTGTGACTTTTGCTGTTGCATGCATGAGGGGGTATCCGCCCCTTAGAACATGGAACCCCATCATATAACCCCCTGCTGAAAACACAAGGGATTCAAAAAAAGGCTGGACTAAAGAAAAGAGCAATTTCAGATGCCATCTTAGTTTGGAGGAGGGTAAGGGCTAGCCACGGGGTTTCGGTTGGAAGGGTCGAGGCGGCTAGTAATAATAGTAATAATAATAGTAGTAATAATAATAGTAATAATAATAGTAATAATAATAGTAACAATAAGAATAGTACTAATACTGGTAGTAATAATAATAAAAGTAATGATAATAGTAGTAAGAATAAGAATAGAGATTAGAGTTTGGAGATGCTAAACCTTAAACCCTAAACCCTTATTAAGGGTGTAGGGATTAGGGTTTGGAGATGCAGGTGTGGGGTTTCATGCTGGGCTTAAGATCTTCAACCCGAAGGGCTTTTCATGCGGTTTAGGGTTTAGGGTTTAGGGTTTTGGGGGTTCAAGGGATGAAGGTGTAGGTCTCTTAGGAAGGTAGGGTTCTTTAGGGTTTCAAGGGGCTTGAAGGTTTAGGGGTTTGAACAGTTTAGGAAACCCTAAACCCTGAAAACCCTAAACGGCTTAAGGTTTGGGATGAAGGCTTATAGGGTTTAGGGTTTAGGACCCTAAACCCTAAACCCTAAACCTTACGCCTTTAAGGGCGAAGGGTACCAACTCGGAGCCTCAAAACATTCAACGTCCTCATATGCAGCCATAGTCTAAGGTCCTTGAAGGGGTTATATAGGGGATTATATAGGGATCTATTATAAGGGTTATTAAGGGGACTACTAGGAGTTTAGACTATAGCTCATATGCAGCCATAGTCTAAACTCCTAGCATATGCCTTAATAATCCCTATTTGGGTCCTGCCCCCACCCATTAACAGTCTATATTAGGGATCATATTAAGGGCTATATATAACCATATAGTCTAAACTCCTAGCATATGCCTTAATAATCCCTAAAGAAGTCCCCTAGAGAATCCTTCATATAATCCTTAGGAGTTTAGACTATGCCTCATATGCAGCTCGTATTGTTCTGACTTCTGGGTAAGACTAACCTCCAACAAGAAACGGGCTTCCTTTATTTCAGACCTTGAAGCCTAATATCCTGCAACCGCCATGACCCCCCATCAACATCCCTACAGCATCGTGGCCTGACTCCTCCAACAACAAGTGTGCCTAAAAGACACCAACCGTAAACTTACTGGGGGGGGAGGGGGGGTAGGGAATAAGGGAAAATAACATAGAGGGATTATGTTCCCTTATTCGCTACTAAGAACCCGTAAGCACATGCACATATTCACATAACAGCAAGCCTAAACATGCCTAAACCCTGGAGCTTTGATAGTTAAACCCCAAACCCTCAGTGACGTACATCCTCCTTGAAGGGTCAGGAGACTTGACAAAGTGTTGTAAGCGGGCGTACACCCCTTCACCAACCTACTGAGTCCTCTGGCTGCAAGTAGGGCCCCAAAGACCGTAAATCTTAGACCCTAAATACCAAAACGATAAAGCCTAAGCCCCAAAACGCATCGGCCTCTTCCGCTTCCGGCACGGTGTTGCCTAGTCCCACAGGAAACTCTGATGAGGGTTTAGTCCCCCTTAAGTAGATAGAATATGGGGTATATGGGGGATCTTATTACAATATACCCAAAGCCATATTTTATCTACTTAAAGGGGACTATAACCCTAAACCCTAAACCCTAAATTGTAGCTTCCATTTTCTTTTCCATTATCCCTATATACCCCCAATATACTTAAAGGGGACTATAAGGTCAGGGTTTTTCACCTATTTCCATTTTCCATGTATGCACTCCTGAGGCTCAAGCTGATACCCTGTAAAAGGGTTTAGGGGTGTAGGGTTTAGGGTTTAGGGTTTAGGGTTTAAGGGTTTAGGGTTCAGTGTGCACTTTCCTCTGCATGTATCCTTTCCGTTCCATAAAGACAATGTTTTCTCACCATGCTATTTTCCATTCCTTTATTGACTGCTAATCAGAGACGAGGAAAGAGAGGTCCCTACACCTACACCTGGCTTTCTCCGGGTTTAGGGTTGAGGGTCAACTGGTGATTCTGTAGGATTGGGCGAGCTACCAACGTACTATTCTGCGGGTTTTGTATGGAAATTATTTAGGGGTTACATGGGCACAGTGCAGGAGCGGTGTAAGAACAGGGGTTTTAAGTTTCTACAGGGATCAACATGAAGATTCTACAGGGCTTCCCTAAGCCCTGAACCCTAAATAGTGGTTTCCATTTTATTTTCCATTATTCATACATAACCCCGAAGAACTATGATAGGAATCCACTGCACCAGTTCGATCAGGGTCCCAGACGTCTACCGGAAAAGCTGCAAGCCCTTATCCCGGCGGTACAGGTTGGAAACAAGCTGGGGGAGGATTTAGGGGTTGGGGTTTAGGGTTTAAGGTTTAGGGTCTAGGGTTTAGGATTTAGGGTTTAGGGTGATGGGAGGTCATGCTGCACCTATGAGGCTTATGCAGGCTGGATTGGTGCCTGAGGAACAGTACCAAACAATAACAAGGTGTTTAGGCTTTCGGTCTTGTGGCTCTGGGGCTCTGGACCATTACAGACCTGTGCAACCAATACTTGCACCACAACTCTTACCATGACCCTTGCTGTTGCAATAGCATTTTTCTTCCTCTCCCACTACCTCTCCATCTCCCTCTTCCTCCTCCTATTCCTGTCCTGTTATTGCTACTATCACTGCTACAACTAATCTTGCTCTTGCTGCTACAGTGACTCTTAAGCTATAATCTATAATCCTCGTATTCCCCTTAATAATCCCTCTTAGTCCCCTATACACCCCCTTTGAGGAGTTTAGACCAAAACCCTAGCCCCTACTTAGAAAATGGAAACTACTACTGTATAACAAGAAAAACAATAATCCACAATAACAATAATCCACCCCCTAAACCCTAAAGTCTCTGACTTCGGTGATCCCGGCACGCCTGGCGGACGCCTTGTAAAGCTTTGCTGTGCTGCCCGCAGAATCCGCTCCCCTGCGCGTAGGACAGGGCCACCCGGTTTTATGGGCTTAGGGTGTAGGGTTTGGGTTCCAGGTTTAGGGTTAGGACTTAGGGTTTAGGGTTAGGACTTAGGGTTTAGGGTTAGGGTTTTGGGTTTAGTGCTTAGGGTTCAGGGTTTAGGATTCCAGGTTTAGGGTTAGGAATTAGGGTTTAGGGTTTAGGATTTAGGGATTAGGGTTTAGGGCCCCTAGTCAGGTTCTGTTTACATGAGAATCATCATGCTGCTGGCTAGTGGTAAATGTGGAGCTGAAGTAATAAAAGACACCTATAGTCCCCCTTAGGTAGATAGAATATGGGGTGTATGGGGATCTCATAATTATATACCCAAAGCCATATTCTATCTACTAAAGAGGACTATGAACCCCAAACCATAAGCGCCAAGCACAAGAACTACAAAAAAGAGAGAAAGTTGACTAATAGTAAAAGACACACCTAAGCCCAAAAACTTGAGTGAATGTTTCCCAGATAATCAATGGACATGCGTTCCTTCTTAGGGACTATATGAGGGACTATACTAAACTATACGAGGGACCCCTATGTCCACTGGAAAGGGTCCATTTACTACGGCTAATATTGACTGTAGCTCATATGAGCCCTGGACTAAATTTGTATTATATCCCTTAATAGGTCCGCACCAAAACCCTATATCGTCCCCTATAGGTCCCCAACCTAATTGTGACAGTAGCTCATATGGGCGCCCACATCGTGAAACCGGAAGCGCCACTGCGCCTCTCGAAGTCAAAGCTCCAAAGCCTTTAGAAGTTAATATATATATATATATTCTTGGGGTTATGTAGGGATAATGGAAAAGAAAATGGAAACGACTATTTAGGGTTTAGCGTTTAGGGTTTGTAGTCCTCCTTAAGTAGATAGACTATTGGGTATATGGGGACTTTTTACAACATACCCAGAGCCATATCCTGTCTACTTAAGGGAGATTATAGGGCTAAGAGAAGTCTAGGGTCTTTGAGCTAAAAAGCTCGAGTCTACAGCAGCATCCAAAGCGGTCGCCCTGTACTCCAAAGCCCACCAACCTAAACCCGACTCCAAGCCAAATCGCGCGACACGAACCTGCAAACTTGGCCAGGGGGCCTAGCCTCAGGATACTTAGCAAGTATGTTCTGAGTGGGGGCATGCGTTCCCTAGTTGCGCTTCTCCACATTGCCTTTGGTTGGGGGTTTAAGGTTGCCTGCACCAAACTAACCACAAAAGCCTTGAACCTCACTACTTAAACAGGCTCTGGGGATTTAGTCATTAGGTTAAGAATTATACATGGGGTTATAACCTTCTAGTCCCCCTTAAGTAGATAGAATATGGGGTATATGGGGATCTTTTTAGAATATACCCAAAGCCGTATTCTATCAACTAAAGGGGGGCTATAATTAGAGAACTTGTTCAGGGCTTGTAACCCCATTTTGAGCCTATAGGTCACTGAGTTTTCTAGCGTGCATCCCCAAACCCTCAACCCTACATCTCACCATATAATATAGTCCCCCTTAAGTAGATACAATATGGCTCTGGGTGTGTTATAATAAGACCCCATATACCCCATATTCTATCTACTTACGGGGGACTATACCCCATATGATGAAATCCTCAGAACCCCAACATAAACTTTTCCTCCCAAACCCTACAAACCCTCAATCCTAAACCCCAATCTCTAAACCCCAAAGGACCACCCTAAATCCTATAGAACCCCTAGAGACCCCCCTGTAGAACCCCCAGAGAAACCCTAGAGACCCCAAATACAACCTTAGAAAAGCCCCCGCGAGCCTCGGCATTGCAGGGCTTCAGGCAGCAGCCGCCCGAGGCGTTGAGAGCTGAGCCTGGGTGTAATCGATTTGGGGGCTAAGGGTTATATAGGGCTATATTGGGTTATATGGGCTTGGGGTTTTAGGGTTTAGGGTTTTAGAGTTTAGGGTTAAGGGTTTAGGGTTTAGGGTGTCTTTCGGGTCTAGGGTTTGGGGCTTAGGTTTAGGTTTAGGGTCTATGGTTAGGGTTTAGGGTTGGGGTTTAGGTCGAGGGTCTAGGGTTTTGTTGGACCCTTGACCGTCTAGGGTTTATGGTTGCAGGGTTTGGGTACCCCTGAATAGGGATCTTAAGGTTTAGGGTTTAGGGGGTTTGGGGGATCTAGGGGGTTTACAGGGTTTAGGGGTTTAGGCGGTTCAGCATTTGTGGCCTCCGGGTTAAGGTTTCAGGCTCATGGCAGCGGTCAAGGGACAATCCAGAAAGCTGATCTCTTTGTGAATTCAATAAAGAGAGCAACTACAGCGGGGTTCATGTCCCCCGTTAGTAGATAGAATATGGGATATATGGGGGCCTTATTATGATATACCCAAAGCCATACTCTATCTACTTAAGGGGACTTTAACCCTTTTGCAACAGGCTTGCACGCACGCGCCTGGGTTGACGTCCTGCCCAAGCGAGAGCAGTTTGGCACAGTGTCTACTCTCTGACGCACTGAAAGTACTAACCCAACTAAAGCACTGATGGGAATAGTCGTGTAAATCACAAATTGCTTGGTGCTCCAGATACAAGATGTCAGCATGAACGTACAGGTCGAGAAGCAAGCCAGAAAACTCAAACTGGAACCAGATGTCGCAGTTTGACCACACTATAAAAAGAACCGGTCCTATGAAATGTTTGCACGCCCTCAACCGTATCCAACCAGGATATGAGAAAGCCGTCGTGGCATGCATGCCCATAGGCCCCAGCTCTCCAAGCAAC